TATTACCAAAATTCTATTTTGGTATTTCTAAATACATATTTCTTTACATATCATATATGTTTCTAAATATATATATAATATGTGTTCATGAATACACACACACACATATAAAAACCCATATCAACTGGCTGTTGCTTATTTCAGATGGGCTCATTGCTGCCTTAAACTGTTGGTGACATTGTAGCATCTATGGCTAAAATGCACACAGCACCACTAGGAGTTAGTGTTTGCCTTTCTGCGAGGAGCACTGCTTTAGGTCTTAAGTACATGAGGATGGAGAAGACAAGGTCACCCCGCCAGCAGTGCAGAGTCTGCTTAGGGAGATAAGATACACACACAAGAATAAACACTAGTCCAAGATGGTGAGAGCCAAGTGCCAACTAAGGAAGTTCTGGGTCCAAAGGAAAGCAATGCTAAGGAAAGAGTTAATTTTAACTGAGCAGCCGCCAGTATATTTTCTTATTTAAATCCTCACAAGGGTTCTATAGGGTTATATTATTTTCTTTTTGGACCCAAAGAAGCTTCAGCTCAGAGAGGTTAACTTGCCCAAAACCAGTCCAGTGGAGAGCTTGTGCAGGCTCCCTCCATTGCGTCTTGTCGTCCCATTGAATTAAAAGTTTCTGTTTTCATTAGTTGCTGTTTGCAATGACCCTCCTTAACCAGTTCTTGATTAAATTGTATTAAGTTGTGTTCTTGACGTCTCTCCTCCATCATGGATTACTAGCACAACGCCTTCAGTTCTACCAAACACTCCCTACATCTGCCACCAAGCTGACCCAGGGGTAGCGACTTGATCTTAACTACACCTAAAGGGGTTGGTATAATTAAGCTTTCATTTCTGTGTCTTCACTCTTACTAAGTTAGGTGGTCCTCTTGTCCGTGTTGAGATACTTTGTGGTGTCGTATTCTACTATTCCCGTTTTTAATGGGGCAAAGGTGTGCCATTTTTACTCTCTGTACCTCACTTGCAAGTGAGGTTTCAGCTTTTGTTAAGCCAGAGCAAGCTGCTGATGCAGGGTCCGGCAGCCTGCACCCTGCTTCAAACAACAACTGTGATGCTCTAGCATTAACTCTAATGATGAAGTGGCAAAGATTGTGATGTTTTCTGGGATTCTTTTGTTGTTCTTTGTAAGAAAAGTGAGATTTAAGTAAGATTTAAAGACGGAAGAAGAATTAAGTCCTTCCATAGTGTAGAAATACCTTTTGAGGTTAGCTCAAATTACTGGCAAATTAAAAACTACACTGATATAAAAGATGCAGCTTTATAACACAAATAAGAGCCATAGTTTAATACTGTATCACCAATTTATGTATTTTACATCTCTTTATATTATTATTATTATGGTATAACTAAAGCTTGATGTGAGTTTTTTTAAATTACTCCCTTCTGAGTAGATTGGCATTTCAAGGGCTTTTAAACAATTGCCAAGATTTCAATGTTATATTCTAATCACATGATTAACTGTCAATATGTTCCTTGTGTGGAAAAAAGTTTACTTGAGCTAAGTGTTCATTATCTTCACTTCAGAGAGTTTTAACAAGACAGGAAATAAAAGAGAGCTTGGCAAGAATGTGGCCTCCTTGCCTTATGTAAGCTGGCTTACATCCCACCTCCTGTGGGTAGAGCAGAAAATGGAATGGAATGGAATGGTCCTGCCCACGGCTCCAAATGGAAAGACGAGGACTCCATCATGATTAGAAACTTGTGAAAGAAGTGAGTGACCATCAACACTCTAAGGCCACAGTTATTGCCCTTTCTGCTCCATGCCTCTGATGGCTTACCCATCTTCAATCCCCAGCTGCTCTTCGAGGACGAGGAGTGGTTAATCCTGATCAACAGGCACTGGGATAGAACCGTGCAAGCCTCATAGTCAAGAAATGAGGCCCAGGACCTGGCTACCTTCGGGAATCCTGTTGCTGGCCTTTATTCTTCATGTCCCTGGAGGTGGGAGACTAACAGAGTGTACTGGTAGGTAAACGCAAGATCCTGGAGGACCCAAGAAGCCATAGAAATATGTTCTATAGATTTATCTGAACAGCTAAATCCTTCAGCCCCCTTCCTCCAGGAGAGGAGGTCCTGGCACCAGCAAGAACCTTGGCCTGAGCATGAAAATATTTTTGTTTTTGTTTTATTTTAAATTTGTGTTGTATTGTTTCCTCTTACTATTTTTCTAAATTCCTAAATGGTTATCATAAACTTTACTTACATTGGTCTTCCCTTTTCCTTTATCTTAAAATAAAAGGAATATTGAAAGCGGGAAGGCTTTGAAGAATAACTAGGAAGTAAGTGTCAGTTTTCTTGTCCCATCCTCCTCACCTCATAATTTCCACTGAGAAAGAAGAGAGGAAGGAAACTCCAGGGAGAGTGAAGTATAGGAGCAAAGAAACAATGTGCATGACATGGAAAGAGCAGCCGAGAAAACAGGTGGTTTGGGACAAACTGTGAAGGCTCTTGAAGGCCATAATAGCTGGAGTTTGGACTTTGTTCCATGGGCAGTGGGAACCCTCAAAGGCTTCAAGAGATGAGAAATGTGATCATATTTATCCTCTACTTAAGTGACTTTGGTATCAGTGTAAAGAATGGATTGGGAGGGAGTCCAGAATATCAGTTAGGAGGCAGTTTAGTTTAGGAGAGTGATGATGGCTCAAATTAAGGCAGTCTTGGTATAAAGGGATCATATTGGAAAAATTATGTTGGAGACAGTATTCATGAGACTTAGTTATTTGAAGGACAAAAAAGATAACTTCAAGGAAAATAATGCCCTAAATTGTGAGTCTGAGACAAAAGGGGTACCATTAATCAAGAAGGGATTCATCGGAAGAGAGAGATTTAGTGTGTTTTATGTTAGATATGTTGAATTTGAAGTGTCCTTGTGACATCCAAATGAAGCCACAGACAGCTAGAATTCTGGGGTTGAGGCTCAGAAAAAAGGTTGAGACTGAGATGAGTATTTGGAAGTCATCAGCATAGTCAAGATAGGTGACATTTCCACAGTGGATGAGGTTACCCATAGGCAGAGAGCAGAGCATGGAAGAAGAGGTGGTCCGGGACAGAACCTTGTAGTTGAGGAGCTGCCAGGAAAGAGACTGAGAAGGAGCAATCTGAGATAGAAGGACCACAGTGCAGAAGCCAAGGAAATCTTTTTTTTTGTTTAAAGATTTTATTTTTTTCATTTTTCTCCCCAAAGCCCCCTGGTACATAGTTGTATATTCTTCATTGTGGGTCCTTCTAGTTGTGGCATGTGGGACGCTGCCTCAGCGTGGTTTGATGAGCAGTGCCATGTCCGCACCCAGGATTTGAACGAACGAAACACTGGGCCGCCTGCAGTGGAGCACTGAACTTAACCACTCAGCCACGGGGCCAGCCCTGAAGCCAAGGAAATCTTATTCAAGAAGGAGCAGTTGTTTAGAAAGAACAAAGGAAACACTAAGTTTGGGCCATAAGGAAACCACTAGTGGCCTTTGGAGAAGGCAGTTTCCAAGGAATGAGAGGCAGGAATGAGATCCTAGTGGTTGAGGCATGGAGGAGAGGCAGGGAGGATAATTGGAGCACAAAAACTGCTCGTGGGAGATTTTGTAGTGAAGGGAAGAAGAGCAATGTTGCTTGAAGGGAAGTAGTTTCTATTTGCATACTTCATTAGTTCGCAAAGCACATTTACATCCATTACCTCATTTGGTTCCCATCTCATGAGGTAGCAAGGGCAAGTATTGATATGCTTGGGAACAAAATGAGGTTAAAAAGAGGTTAAAAGTCTTCTCCAAGGCGTCTGTAGCAAGTAAGTAGAAGGACTGAGTTTGGAATTCAGGTCAGTTGACTCTTAATCCAATAATCTTTCCACTGTGCCCAAACAGAGCCTTTCTAAAGTGTTTGCTCTCTTTGGATATTGGATACTGGATGGCATTCAGCTCCTTGTTAAGGGGGTTTGATCTTATCCGGGAGACACTGGGGAGCAACTGGAAGGCTTGTGTAAGGGAATGCCTGTGTAGGTCAACGCTTGAGGGAGACAAATCTGGCAGTGAGGTATAGGCTGTGTTAGTGGAACAGACACCTCAGGGGGGAGATCATTAAGACATGGCTTCAAAGTGGAACACAGTTAAAATAAACATCAAATTGCATGCTGGGAAAGTTATTTCCCTTTCAGTTCTGTGGGTCCTGTTCTGTTTGTGTTAAGAAGAGGATCTCAGTTTGCTAGTCTCTTCTAACACCCCTCAGAGACTCTCTTATCTTCTTGAACAAAGAGAGAACAGCCTCAGGCTGAGATCATTTGCCTAGTGTCTCGCTAGAACTGATTTACATTGCTTTGTATTCACCCTATTTTTATGATTATTTTCCAGTTAGGACAAGTAGTACTGATTTCTCATTTGTTATAACTATAGAAAGGTTATTATCAAATACAGTGGTCCCTCAGGGTCCACGGAGGATTGGTTCCAGGACCCCCTGAAGATATCAAAATCCATGGATGTTTAAGTCCCTCATAGAAAAAGGTGTGATATTTGCATATAACCTATGCACATCCTCCTGGATACTTTAAATCACCTTTAGATTACTTATCCTACCTAATACAACGTAAATGCTATGTAAATAGCTGTTATATTGTTTAGCAAATAAAGAAAAAGAAGTCTGTACATGTTCAGTACAGATGTAATCCTCATAGGCCTTTGATCTGAGGGCTGACTGTATATCTAAACAAAAAAAGTCAAATTAAGGAAAAATATTAAGTCAATCCTAAGACAGGTGGTATACACATATGAGAAAAAAGCACTATGAACATGTATTTTAATGACTAACATTTGGGAAATTTTGGTCTTGAAGACTGTTGCAATAGGAGTAATGAGGGTATAGTCCAGGGCAGGATGAGGGCAATGGGAATGGAGGAGGCTCTGATACACATTTTAAGGGAGTTAAAGGAGAGCAGCACAGTTATCTACCTGGGGTACTTTCTACAGCATTTCTCAGGATGCTTATGGCTTCAATAATAGAAAACCTCAACCAAAAAGGCTTGTGCAATACAGCAAATTTATTATCTCATCTAACCAGGAGCCTCAAAGTAAGGTGGCTCCCAGATTGCTTAAGTCAGTGGCTCATCGACATCACTAAGGACTCAGCTTCCTTCCACCTTCCAACCTTAGCAAAAAACCTTTGTCCTCATGGCTCCAAAATGGCTGACATAGTTCCAGCAGTCTCATCATGACATTTGATGCTTCTGTGTAAGAAGTAGACATCTCTTCCAAAGATGGGGATGAAGAGTGAAGAATAGAGAAATCTTTCCCTGAAGGCACCTCCACCAAAAGATTTTCCTTCAAGATTAATTGTCCAAAAATATGTCACATATCATGCATAAACCAATCACTGCAAAGGGGAATCAAATTACCATAACTTACCTAGACTAATTGGTATTTATTCTCTGGGCTAGGGACAGAGGCCCCTTCCTGAAGGATGGACTTCTCGAGAGAATAGAGGCTCTGTTAAGAAATATGGCTGGTAGGCAGTCAACCACCTTAGACTAGTGGTTCTGGAATTCCTCAAATTAACCCTTGAACATAAGTGGGAAGTTCTTGAGGCTTGTGGTTTTTTATTTTTAAAAATTTCATTTGGCTTTTCTTTCCATGTGTTGGATTAAGGCAGAACGAAATACTTCCACTGCAAAATCAACTTCTGGTTTAGTGATGCACATTGGGGGTGCAATGCGGAATGTCTGAGGAGACAAAGGGAAATAGAGCAGTGGATCATCATAGAGTCAAATCTGACTTTGAGGAAATGCATTAAACTGAGAATCCCAAATCTTGTTTTTACGACATTTCTTACATTTTTTCCCCGTGGGTTGGACTCCCCCCTTCTCCCCAGTGCTGTACCCAAGCCATTCATCCTCCAGTCCTTGTAAAACTCTGGTGCCATCTGGCTCTGCTTCTTTTCCTTTTTGTCATCTTCTCACCTCCTGGTCCTTCTATCACCTTCACTGAGGTCTTAGGTACTTATCTACACTCCATTTCTGCTATCACCCAGGGTGACTTCCATGTTCGTGTGTACAACCCAACAAACTCGCTTCTCAGTTTCTTGTGACAACTCCCAGAACCTTCATCTCTGTTCCTTTGCATCCATTCACACCCAAGGCCAGCGCCATGAGCCTCCTCCTCACCCGGAATAACTCAATTTCTGATTCGCATTCCATCTGCCTTTCTCATGAAAGTGTCAGTCTCCTCATTCCTCCATTATCTGCAGGTCTATCGCCTGACTCAGATGTCCTCCTTCCTTTCCTACCCAGCTTGGAGCACACGGTGAATGGTCTGAACTGCTCTCTCACCTGCCCCCGTATGTTGCTTGCACTTCTACCCTTCTGCTGCTGCACCCACGTGGCAAGGTCCCAGCCCTGATCAAAGCTCTAATTGAACTGTTTTGCCTCAACATAGATAGCTGAGAAGTATTAGAGAAGATCACACGCTGGGCAGTCTGACACCACTAGATATGCAGGGTCTCTAATTTCTGCTGGTCCCCCCAGTTTTTCTTGTCCTCCGTCAGCTTCCTCTCCCATTCTAAACCTTTATCATTCTTCTCAATTTCCTTGCTCAACTCCCACGCCTCTGTCTATTTCATAGACAATCTTGCCTCATGCTTTTCAGAAGCTGTCAGGCAAGATCTTTCTATAAACTTGTTTGCTCCCACATCCATTCTTACAGCCCTGCCTGAAGGTTCAGAGAACAAGCTGTCTCTACCGTTCAACTTGAAATTTTCCACCTGTGCCCTTGGTCTTTGATCCTGCCATCACCTTCACTCCCAGAAACATCCCCATGTTCTCTTGCATCTTCAACTTCCCCTCAGCCTATAAACTAACAGGCTTTGAGCTCTTGTAACCCGAATTCAAACCATACCAAATAAAAGTGTGTTGACTCCCTGGATCCCTTCTAGCTACTGTACAAGCGCTGTCCTCTCCTTTTATCCAAATTTACTAAACAGACTGGTTGATGCTTCTTGGCCATTATTTTTCACTCTGCCCTCCTTGTTCACATCTCAGCCCACTGCAAGCTGGTTTCTGCCCCTATAAACATTCTGACACCACTCTAGTTCATGTTGCCAGTGACCTGCTAAGTGCAGAATCCAATGAGCATCCTTCCTGACCTTGTCTGCTGCATCTGGCACTTGGGTCCCTTCCTCTTCCCGGACCTCTCCAATCTCTTGCTTCCATGACTCAGCACTCTCCTACCTCTTCTCACGTGTCTCCACCCTTTTTTTTTTGTCTCTGCCTAGGCACTTTTTCTTCCACTTGCCCTTTATATGTTGATGCTACCTGGGTTTCTATCTTCATCTCACTGCACTTTTCATCTAGACACACTTCCCAGGAGAATTTCTCATCTTTCCAATTATATGCTGATGACTCCCAAATCCCAAATCATGATCTTCACCTCAGTTCTTTCCTCTGAGCTACAGACTTTTCTAAAGAAACGGATGTCCATAAACACCTCACATGGAGCCTGTTGAAAGCTGAGCTCATCCTCGCACTCCCTAAACCAAGGTAGATGTGAGGGACTCATCCTTGCCTCTTCCTTGTTCTTCACATCCAAGTCCTGTGCATTTCCAATTCCAGAATTGTCCTCTGAATGTCTCCTCTCTCCCTACTACTACGGCTCAAGTTCAAACAGCATCATGAGCCGCCACCTTGACTCCCTGACTCCAGTCTCGTCCCCTCAGGTTTATCCTCCTCAGAGGATGGATTCAGAAATCAGACTGCCTGAGTCTGGGTCTTGGTTCTGCCACTTACTGGCTGTGTGATTTGGGCAATTTACTTAACCGCTCTTTTTTTCTTCATCTGTAAAATAAGGATAATAGTAGTACTTATTTTTTTTTTTTTGGAGGAAGATTAGCCCTCAGCTAACTACTGCCAGTCCTCCTCTCTTTGCTGAGGAAGCCTGGCTCCGAGCCAACATCCGTGCCCATCTTCCCCTAGTTTATACGTGGGACGCCTACCACAGCATGGCTGCCAAGCAGCGCCATGGCCGCACCCAGAATCCGAACCAGCGAACCCCGGGCAGCAGAGAAGCGGAACGTGCGAACTTAACCGCTGCGCCACCGGGTCGGCCCCTAGTAGTACTTATTTTATGGGCTTACTGAGAGCATTAAATGAATTCATATAGACAAGTTGTTTAGAACAGTGCCTGACAAGTAGTGAGGTGTTTTTTATTCTTACCCCCCACTGCCTCAAGGCTTATGCTCCAGCCGCAGCAGTGTGCATGCAGCTCTTTGCACTCTGCCACAGTTGTACATGTGCTTTGAGTGTTTATCTCATTGTTTAAGGCTCAGCTTAGTCAGAAAGGCTGGCCTAGGGGTCTTTTCTTTTTCCTCCTTTACTACCCCTTTTTATAGCTATCTATGAGCGTGCTACATCGTAATGTAATTTGCTGTTTTTGTGTCTTTCTCTCTCGCCGGCACCACGACGGGAGGGACCAGATCTTCCGTATCGTTGTAGCTTTAGCACCCAGCATAGCAACTCCTGCTTAACATTTAAATGTTTGCTAGATAACGAAATAATAACTAAGCCAGTGGATAATTAATTCTTTCATGTCTTCATAAGTTGTGCATCTTAGGATTTTTAATCATTAAATTACTCCTCCTGATTTGTACAGAAAAATACTTAGGACCAGGACTAGAAAAAACTCCCCGAGCATGTCCAGCAAAAGTGCTTATCCTGGTTTTGCTTGAGGGGGTTTGGTTTGGGCTTGGAGTGCTTTGAACCGGTTTGTTTACCGTCAGAGGAGAAGTCGAGGGGAAGCTGCAGATACAAGAGAACACAAACATGTTTCCTTGAGCCAGGTGGAGGGAGCGTTGAGCTCAAGAGCACACATGGAGACCTGGGTCTGAACAGGAGAGACACCCCATTCTCTGAACCTTCAGGAAACGAGGTAAGGAATGGATGTGGGGACAGATGATTTCTATAGAGATCTTGCCTAATAGCTTCAATTTTCTCTGAGAGGTACGAGGCAAAAGCGTTCACCGAGACAGAGTGACAGGCAGGAATGGAGCAGGGAAACTGGGATGAATGACTAAGGACGAGGACGTTTAAAATGGGAAAGAAAGATGACAAAGGATAAGAACAATAATAGGCGAGGAGCACAAGTTACCCAAATCTTAAATCTCTGCCCCAGAGCCAGCCGCTGGGGAGGGTCCTGCTGCTGTGAGGGATTTAGGGTAGATCGCTTTGCTGACAGCAGCAGCAGCCCATGCCCACCGGGCAGGCCCACCCGGGGTCCTGACTGTGCAGCCAGACCCGGCTTTTCCAGGAAGGGGGCAGGGAGAGCTTGGTCTCTGCAGCTCCCAGCCTGAGGGGCTGGCTGGCCGATTTTGAGTTCCACATTAGAGACCCGACCAGGGTGGTCCCCCACCTCTCCTGCAGGGTCACCTGGGCCTGCCAACACTGTTAGGTTGCTCCTGGCCATAGCAGCCACCAAGGTTTAGCAAGTATAGGGTTCCCAAAGTCAGAGCCCAAGGCTGAGTCAAGAACGCCTAGGGTTGCTCTTACAGGGGTTAGAACGAATTCATACATAAGACATGCTATCCATTGCATGACTGTTATGATTCTATTATGACCTATACTGTAAATCCTCTGGTTTGTCTGTGCATCTCGTTGCTGTCCTGTCACAGTGTCCTCTGTATCTGTTCTGCACGGAACCGCTATAACCAAACCATTTCACACAGCGCCTCCTGGTGGTCGGAAGGCCGCACTGCCCCTTTCTTTGGAAAATACCTGAGCACCTGTGCCTAGAGGAGATGAGACTGGGTCCCCTAGAATAGTCGTGAAGAAAAGTGACCAGTATTGGGACATCACAGAGAGGCCTATCTAAAGTGATAGGTAAAGACCAGCCTTTCTCTTACCTGAGAAAAAATGCCGGATTTGCCAACTAGAAGCCCCATGTGTTTGCAGTCCTCGTGAATTTGACTGACTTCTTCCGGGGGAAGAGGCTGGCGGCTCATCTGTAAATATGTTTAAAAAATATTTTCTGTTTGGTGTTTGAATTGTTAAAGACGTTATTCCCAAGAGAAAAAGAAAGAAACGCAAGCAGTCAATGCTCCTCTCTCCCTCCCCATCTCTCTCTCCTCCTGTAATTGAATAAAGCTGTTAATTGCTGTACCGGATTTTTTGGGAGTTATTAAAAAAATATATATATATATATATATATTTTATCTCAGCTCATCCTAAATTTCCAAAGATACAATAAAGTCGAATGAATCTTGGCTCTGCTAATGGCGACTCTGGGAGCGTGGTTCTTTAACAGCTGAATTTGCAGTCTGCTTTATTTACGTGGAAATTCTGCTCAGCTCTTCACTTTGTTTTGCCCATGTAAAGAGCTCATTTCAAAGTCCAGGAAATGGCTCAGAACCAGTCCAGCCTTTCCCTGGGCCACAGCATGGACTGGGCAGCTGGGGTGGGGCTGTTTGTCCTTATCTTCCCCGCTTGTGGATTTGTTGTTTTTCCCCCAAAACTTAATCCTTCAGCTTTAGGAAAGGTAAGCATTTTGAGAGCCAAGGGGCTGTTTCAGGTCACTAGGCATCTGAAGTTGGCTCCTCCCTGTGGATGCAGATGTGCCAGTACCCCTTTGGTGACCCTGGGCTGGGGACTGGTGCCCTTTCTGTGTGTCTCCTGTCTTCCGAGTCCGTGAGTTACAAACGCCCCCCTCGAACTTAGTCATTTCAGGCCTGTGTGTCTGCATTACCTGGAAAGCTTTTCAAACTCCCGCTGTTTGGGCCTCACGCTGGGCCTCTCGAATTAGAATATTTGGGGCAGGCCTAGGCATCTGTATTTGTAAAGTGCTCCTGGGTGCCTGGGCTGAGGACTCTGCTGCAGTGCTCCTATCTTGAGTGCTGAGTGCCGTGCCGCCGCTGGTATCTCATTTTTCTGTAGCATTGCCGTTGTGATCATCAGCACTGGGTCTGGCTCTCTGGTTTCAGATGCATCTGGCCTGGTCCTGGCTCGTGAGCGAGCCCCTGCGACCATGGTGCAGTAGAGGAGGGCTCCCTCTGGTGCTCCCAGCTTCATTCTTCTCCTGTGGGCTTCCTACCCACCCGCCCTCTAGGCTTTACTATCCATTCCCTTCCCCCCACAATCCCTGATCCAACTCGCTCCCCAAATCTGTTATTGCTGGTTAAGTGGCAGTGTCGGAGCACAGAATAAGACTGGACCTCCCGGAGATGTTTGCAGTTTTTGTCTGTCCTAAAGCATTAGGATAAGGAAAATAACATTCAAACTTTTAGACTCCTTGATAACGGAGGACGTGAGATGGGGGAAAAGACCAGGTCTTCTCAGCTATCCTAAAATGTCATCACGCACTCCTGCTTGCCCATGAAGTTCTCCGCTACTAGACAGGGGAGACAAACACTACAAAATAGTTTAGGACTAAACTGGGAGAACTGGAAAGAGGTTCGATATGGTTTAGGGGATGAGAGGTGAGAGGGGGCCCGACACCCTCTGGAAAGGTTTCATGATGGGAAGTTGGGTTGGTGGGGCCTTGGTGGATATTAAAGATCTGGGAGGTAGAGTTTTTTTGGTTTCATCCTGGTCTGGGCCAATGCCTTCCCTGCTCCCTTGCCCGTTTTATCACCCCCTGGCCTCAGCTGCTATGACTAATCAAACGTCTTGTATGCATTCCACAGAGAAAAGCAGAGTGGGAAGCTCTCACAAGGCACAGCCACAGGACAGCCTGCCCAGGCCCTGTGCTCAGGCCTACATCCCAAATGCCTGATAACCAACTGGGCATGTTAGTGACTGACCTCTCGTTGGGTGTATAATGTAGCTTCACGTTTATCTTTTTTACTTTTTGGGGTTTTTTTTGCCCTTTTAGGAGGCAAATCTGCATTTAAATAATTATAAAAGTAATCCATGGTTATTGGGAAAAAAAAACCCTAAAGCAATATGAAAGTGCATTAAGTAAAAATGGCAAGTTTCCCTTCCCCCAATCCTACTCCTAGGGACACTGCCTGCTGGTAATTTGATGTGAACCATTTTTTCTATGCACACAAATACATCTATATGCATATTTTTAAAAAGTCATACTTTATAATGTTTTTCAATTTGCTCTTAACAATTTCCAATATCCCTTGGACGTTTTTCCATGTCAGTGTATTTGGACCCAGTCTTCTTAAAGGTTACCTAGTATTTAATTGTTTGTTGGTAATGCGTTCAATTTCCTGTTGTTGGGCATTTATGTTGTTTGCAATTTGTCATGATTATAAACAATGCTGCAAACATCCCTGCTTATGTATATCTTTACACACTTCTGTGAGCATTTCTTTAGGACACATTTTTAGAAGTGGAATTGCTTGGTCAAAAGAAATTTAGAATTTTGACAGAGACAGACAAATTGCTGTTCAAAGGGCTGTTCCAACTTACATCCTTGCAGTGTATGGGAGTTTCGATTTGGGGTTATGCTGGACAGTTTTGAGCTGTTATAATTACATGAATGTGGTCTGAGGCGTTGCAGGGGCCTGAAATCCATCAACAAGCCCTTATAAAGCACCTACCATCTGTATGTTTCCTGGCCTCAAAAATGTACAACTTATTTAGGAAAATAAGGTATTTACATGTGAAAACTGAGTCAACAAATACCTGGTTTGAAAGATCTTTTGAGAAGAACTCTTAGCTAGTGAGTGCTAGAGAGACTCTCTGATGGCTGGAGCCCCGGGATTGGGGGAGGAACAAAGGCCTTAAGAGGTGGAGACGTGATAAAGATTTGGATCTCGGGAAAGGCTGGGATTTCCTTAGGTAGGTAGAGATAGAGAGGAGAGTGCTGTATTCCATGCTTGGAGAAAAGTCTGAGGGACATTTGGGTTAGGAAAGTGAATGGCATTGAGGGGACAATGATTAGAAGTAGGGAACGCAGGAGCCAGGAATTAAACCTGGGTAGTCTGCCTCCAGAGCCCAAGCTTACAACTACCAAATGGCAGAGGGAAGAGAAAGAGAGCTCATCATATAGATACTACTATACAGGCTGTTTTGCTTTTTCCCTAGTACAGTTTGCACATCTTGCCATGTCACATATATATCTATGCCATTGTAGAATGAATGTACCAGAATTTAGCTTGTTCTGTATCTAAGGCCATCTGGGAGGCTTCTGATGTTTCATCCTGACAGATCCAGTTCTGACAAGCGTCATTGCTCATGTGTCCTTGAGCATGCACAAGTTGGGTTTGGAATAGTGGGAAAGGGATGGAACCCTTCCTCTTTCGTGGGGCTTTCTTCTGTGGAGTCTAGCCTTCTAGGAGTCTGGCTATCTTTGAGGGAGCACCTGAGCTGGAGACTAGCATGGACTCTTCTGAACCTGAGAACAACCCTTGACTGGTCCACAAGTAGAGATAAGTATGTTACAGCTTGTGAGCCAGAGGCCATGTTTCATATTACTCTTATTTTCTTGTTGTCTTCCTTTAGTTTTAAAATCTTGTTGAAGCATTCCAGCTTGTACTACCTCTGCTGTGCAGTATTAATGGAAGTGTCTTATAGCCACGGTCTTGTCTGAATGTTGAAGGAACTGAGCATCAACACTCCTAAGCAAGCATGGTGTAGTAAGATCAAGTAGCAAGAAGTCACCCAAGGGAGAGCTGGATCCCCATGGACAAGAGTTAGGGCCAAGGATTAGTCTGACTGTTCCTCCTTGAGCCAAGATTCTCCTACTGTTGCTCTCCTCAGAGGATCTAGGCTTTGCTTTTATGGAGGAAAGAGACAATTTCCTATTGACATGGACTGTAGGGGCAACAGTAGAAACAAAGGGAAGGATGTGAGACACAGTAAAGAAAGAATCCACAGGCCTTGACACGAGAAATAAGGGGAGAGAAGGAGGCACAGATTATTTTGTGGAATTGAGGCTGTGTAATTCAGAGAATAGTGAAGTGGATAATAGTGGAGAAACACAAACAGTGAATTTGGGAGGAATAACTGGTTTGGAGGAAAATGCTACTTTCAGTTTTCATACTGTGTCTGGGGTCAGAGTGGGGAATGTCATCAGAAAGTCACATTCCTCCCTGGTTCCTTGAGAGATTGAAATCCATTCACAAACAAACAAGCAAATACAAAACCCTATAGATCTTTATCATTCTCACCCTAAACCATCACCACAACCTTCTCCTGGCTCTTTCTGCTTAAACAATTTTGTCCCTTCCCCATATTTCTAACTATTCAGTCATCACCAGTGCTCTTTGCCTAGTCTGGCAAGAATAATATCAATTCCTTTTCCAAATGCCCTCCCTCACCCGTCTAGAACTCTTGATGACCCGCTAACGTTTTGTTTATCCTCAACACTCCCTGCTCGTCTCTAACGGGCTTTGCTGAGTCTTGCTGTCCTCTGTGCTCTCTCCCTGAGAAAGAATGAAGCACCTGCAGCTGAGGCGTCTCCCTTTACCTCTCGCTGCCCCCAAGAAGCCAGAGAGAGAGCAGCAGATCAGAACCTACCTTATCCTTCACCATTTCTATTCCTATCATGAGGCCTTTGCCTCGGACGTCCCCAACGATTTCAAATTCATCTCGCAGCTTAGCTAACTCCAGTAACATGTAAGTGCCAACTTCTTGACTGTTTTCCTGTAGATTTTCTTCTTTAATCACCTGTTGAGAGAAAGCCACAAATGACCTTGCATTAAAAAAAAGTTCTAAAATTGACTGAGAAAGGTACATTTAAGGAGAGGTAAATGTATATGACTCTCTTTACAGGAACTTGACCAGACAAATGGAACCCAAAGTCTAGTATGGCCGTACCACATACTACAGAAACATTTACTTCAAGGAGAAAAAAAGTCTTCATAGGTGGGAGACTTCCCCCATAACTTCCTCATCTTCAGAAGTGGTAAGAATTTGGGAAAGAATAAAAGACACATCTCAATGCAATTTGTAAGACAGAGTCCATAATCCTGAGGTTCATTGTTGCCAGGCATCTCTGAGAACTGGGATACAGTGGTGAATAAGACAAATGCTCTGAGGAGAGAAATGTCACAGATGCTCGCTCTACTGGGAGCTTGTCGATCTTTGTCCAGCAGCCCTCAGCTGGACATAGGATGTTATTGTCCAAGGGCCCCACTGCAGCGCCCTGGCCTCCGGAGCTGGGCGGAGCCCTGTGTGGGCTCAGAGCCAGGGCACTGAAGGTATACAAGGATTTTCACTTCCTTCCACTCACAGCAGAGACCTGTGCTTCTTGACAAGATACATGCAATATACTACATTTATCTTTAGCTGATAATAATTGCATGACTCTGGGAACACCTTGATGTTTTTAAATCCTATTTGTTCACCTAAATCTTCTGTGTCTTCTAAATTAGTTGAAGTGAAACAGCACTTAAAAAAAAAGTAGGCAGTGTCTACGAAATGAAACGACATGTTCCTATTCATGCTTTTTCATTTCACGATTTAATCATGTTTGAAGATGCTTTTTAATTAGCAAGGCAGCTTTGACTGACTTTTTATTTAAAAATGCTTTGAAATTTAATTTTTTGAATAAGTGAATCATATGTCTACTTCAAAAATCAGAAAGTATATGAGTATATGGTAGAATGACCCTCACTGATCCCTGTCCCCCAGCCACCAAGTTTCCTTCCCCACAAACAACCGCTGTTCTTAACTTTTTGGACATTCTTCCAGAAATGCATTGTACTTATTTAAGCAAACGCCATTATGCATATTAGCAAGGGCCTTTAAAAAATCTTTTTCAACAGATGAGACCCCAGACAAAAATCACTGGGGTGGGGTTGAACAACAGCTGAATTGCCTGGTTGTAATCACAGAGAACTCAAGTTCTCGTTAGTCTTTTAATTTATGACAGCACCTCAAAGGGAAGGAAGAATATACAAGACGGGGCCAAAATTAAATGGAAGTCAAGGATAACTGTTGGTAGCTATCCATAAAATACCACTCAAATAATGAATTTCAGTGCTACCAGCTGGCTAGGGGGAATTCTTTTATTTCCTGTGCATCTGAGGTTTAGTATATACAATTTTGTATCCAATACTTCAAGTACCCAAAATAGATCTTAGAAAAAGGGGGAGGGGCAGAATAATAAAATCTAACTTAAATTCATAGACAAGCAATCACCTCTTCACATTAGTAATATCATGTGATAGAGTTCTGACAATGTGTGTGTGGTTTTGAAGTCGCCATTTTGTGAAATGAGTGATGCTAATGTGGCTGCTGGAACACACCTCAAGCACCGCTGATCCAATGGCACAGGCCAAGGGGTTCCCTCCGAAGGTGCTGAAGCAAAACCTGCGTTTAGCTAAAGACTTGGCAATCTCTAGGGGGAGAAAGTAAAAAGTGAGCAAAGAGTGACACATTCCTATCTATAATCTCTCAACACATTATTTGGATTATATTTACTTTCATGGTGTGTGTATGTATGTCTAGCATTTTTCATGGCATCATATCCAGTTCTTTCTTTACTCACCAGACAGTGGATGTTGTGGACGGAATTATGTCCCTCCCACCAATTCATATGTGGAAGCCCAGTGTGACTATATTTGGAGATAGGGTCTTTAGGGGGGTAATTAAGTTAAATGAAGTCTTAAAGAGGGGGCCCTAATCCAATAGGACTGATGTCCTCATAAGAAGAAGAAGAGACACCAGCACTCTCTCTCCAAGGAACAGGACATGTGAGGACATAGCCTGAAGGTGGCCGTCTGTAAGAGAGCTGTCACCAGAAACTAGCTCTGCTGGCACCCTGATCTTGGACGCCCAGCCTCCAGAACTCTGAGAAATAAATGTCTGTTGTTTAAGCCCCCACCCTGTGGGATCTTGTTATGGTGGCCCTCGCTGACTAACGCAATGGATAAGGAAAAATTGCTTATTTTACTCAATGAGAACTTTGACACCAAAATCTTTAATGTGTTGTGTGAATTAAAAAGTACCTTAAAACTTCATTTATGGGAATTTACATAGACCTTTCATTAGCAAAACCTTTTTTCTGTATTCCACTCTTGGGACTAAGAAAGAAATTTCAAAGAAAAAAATCTCACATCAAAGATTTAGTAGATAATTTGCGGATTGTTTCAGGGTGAGTATATATTTGGTTCATTGTACTTTACCTTCTATGTCCACATTTTAGTACCTTAATTCATTCAATAAAACCACTGAGCTATCACAAGGCACTTAATTATCCTTTAGTACCTCTGAAATGGGCTTACTATTAGTGGGAAAAACAAACGAGATAATTTTAAGATTTTCAACAATAAGTGGTTCATAAGAATCTTTTTCTGGGGCTGGCCCGGTGGCGCAGTGGTTAAGTGCACACTTTCCACTTCAGCAGCCCAGGGTTTGCCAGTTCAGATCCCAGGTGCGGACATGGCACCGCTTGACAAGCCATGCTGTGGCAGGTGTCCCACATATAAAGTAGAGGAAGATGGGCATGGATGTGAGCTCAAAGGCAGTCTTCCTCAGCAGAAAGAGGAGGATTGGCAGCAGATGTTAGCTCAGGGCCAGCCTTCCTCAGCAAAAATAGGAGGATTGGCAGCAGTTAGCTCAGGGCTAATCTTCCTCAAAAAAAAAAAAAAAACATTTTCTGTAAAACTTCACTAAAATGGAAAATACAGTTAACTCTAATGTTCTGGCTAAGTGAGACTGTAGGATGTTTGGCTGTTTTGTTGATGAGACATCAGCAGTGGACCTTGATTTCATAGCTTATTGGTTTGGCCAGACCAAGTAACAAGCTTTTCCATAATATGATTCCCTTAGAAATTTCAGGATTGGTTTCTGGTTGGCTAACAAGGATCTCTTGTGTTGGTTTTGTTTTTGTGGGGCATTTTCCACTATCTTGTCAGTGTGGTAGAACCCTACATTTCATTGTGGGAGTGGGAGAATTAGTCTTCCGTTCAGCAAGAGCAGAAAGGGCTGGCTTTCTTCCATCTGTTCCTCAATCTGGCAGACGGACTGTGTCTCTTTTTCATTGCTTAGGAAATGCATGCCTAGTTCCCCTCACTGTCTCCAACCCACACAAGTTCCAACATACGTTTCCTACCATCACTGAGGCAGGAGGCCCAGAAGCAAACACGAACTCGTAGGTCCTACCTGGGGTTGTCACAACTGCTCCCATGGGAAAGCCATTCCCAATCCCTTTAGCCAGAGTGACAATGTCCGGCACAACGTCGTGGGTTTGGAAGCCCCAATAGTGAGAGCCCAGCCTTCCAAATCCTGTTTGCACCTGATGGAAACAGATACAAAGACACTGGAAACCTTAAAGAAATGCTGGTTTTTCTGACTCTCTGATCGCTTCCCTTTCCTCCTCTCTCTTCTCCCTCTCCTCCTCCTCCTCAGCATAATCATCACTAGCCGTCATCATCACCATCCTCATACTGTTATGGACAAAGCACTTAATCTGTGCCTGAGCTTTTAGGCACCTAAAGCTGTTTACCTAGCTTTGTGTGATTCTGGATATGTTTTTTAAGTCTGAACTTGTGTTAACTCTAAGTAGAAATACTTATAGCGATACATCACAGGGCTGCTGTGAAGGTAGTATAAATAATGCATGATTAGCAATCCTTAATAAGGATCTGCCATGTATCAGGCAGCAGAGGAGGTGAGCGGAGAAGCTACATCCGCCCCAGGTTGGACGAAGCAGGTACATAGAGTAAGTGGATTGGGCAGGGCGCCTGCCAACTGGCCCAGACAGGCCGGTCATCCTCTTCCCTGTGATCTCCTTTTCCTCCTGAGAATGATATCATGGGGAGGACCCAGCTGAGCCAGTTAACTCAGGATTGAACTAAGTTGCCCTTAGTTGTTTTTTGCATGCTGTTCCCTCTTTCTAGAAGCCCCTCTCCTTACTTCTTCACCTCACGAACTCCTCTTGTCTTTCAAAGCACAGCTTCATAATCATTTGGTCCAGGAAGGTTTTCCTGAGTCCCAGTACGACTCCCAGTCTGGGCCCCTGAGCATGCTGCCATCAGAACCTCTCACCCTGGACTCTTATCACCAGTGGATGTGCTGTTGACAGAGACTGTATCCTATACCTCTTTATCCACAACACCTAGCAAAGTGCCCGATAAAAGTAGATACTTAGTGTTCGTAGAACGAATGGAGAAGCGGCAGAAGTGCCTAACTGAATAAAGCCGCACAGCCAAACATTTCCATGCAAATTTCTGCCAAAGGCTTTCTGGGAAAGGTTCCTTGATCTCTTTCTGGCTCTCAGTCTCTTGGTCTGTCTGTGTCTGTCTCTCTACACACACCCACAGTGCAGGTCGGGGATAGAGGTGTGGACACTTGAAGTGGATTCTGAAATGCACTTGAAAGAGGAAGCTTTCTTCTCAACCTTCCTTCTCATTTTCCCTGCTCTCTCTAGGTGCTGCTGCAAAGTCAGATTTCAGGGTTAGATTTAGATGCTGGCAAACAATGTAGGAGAAGGGCTTAGTTACGGGAAAAAGACAGACCCAGGCTCGAGTCCTGGGTCTCCTACTTCCTAATGATGGGCCTCTGGGAAAACTGATGAATTTTCCCAAATAAGATAATTTAGGAAGCTCATGGAAAATCCATCCATTTTATCTTTCTGCCTGTCTTTGTTTTTCACTCCACCTATCTAAGTACCATAAATAAATGGTGAAAAATCAGAATGCTTGGATAACGCATGAAATTGTATAGGACTGTAAACCATGTTTGGTCACCTAGGAAGTATCAGTTTCATAGAATCTTTCAGTAGAACAGAGATGATTCATTCTAAGGTTCATAAACTCAAATGTTTTCACGAGTGAGGGGCTTATACTAGTGACAGAAGCAGGCTGGGTCTACGACAATGGGCAGGGATGGGGACTCTGGGGGTCATGCCTTGCCTAAAAACAGTCAATTTCAAATCTAAATCTAGTTCACGTCAGACCAGCAAAGACTGGCTGTCCAACTGGCCTCAGAGGTGGCCAATTTTCTATCTTCGATTCCAAATTCCTCATTTTAAAGAGGAGAAAACCAAGGCTAGCTAATTAAGATGACGTGTGAGATCACATGGTGGCAGCACTGGCCCTGCATTCAGGTTTTCTACCCTTGCCCCCTGTTTTTCTCCATCCTTTGCCTTTCTACCCCACCATGCTGTCATTGAGAGGCAGCTGGGCCCAGTGATTGGTTTGTCTTGGAGCCTGGGTTTGGGTTCTGGCTCCGTCCCCAATAATTGCATTAACTTGACAGGTGACTTACCCATCTTGGACTTAAATTTCCTTATCTATAAAATGAGAATAATAACAATGGGACACACCTTATAGAATTGTTATGAGTATTAACTGAGTTAATACATGCAAGCATTATGAACAGTGTCTGATAATGTAGTAAGCACTCAGAAAGTTCTAGCTATTGTTATCTTTAGCTAGTCATTAAGACAGTCTTTCTTAAGGTCACCCCGTGTTACATAGTTTCCAATTACGTTCTTGTAAGTGATAAAACCACATATCTCAGAAAATTCTGAAATTCATATTTTCTTTGAATTCAGTCTCCCTTCCTCTAATTAGTCCAACTGTGGCAGCTTCACTGTGTAATGATTTTGAAGGTTAAAGCTTATTCTCGTCACTGATGTATCTAACTGTAAACTGACCGAATTTACGTTTCTTCTTCCTTTTTAATAGCAGGTAGACTTTGCTTAGGACTTTGATTAGTTCACGTTCCCTAAACTTGTGTTGGCGGGTGGGGAAAGGGAGGATGGACATGGCAGGAGGAGCTGGCCCACGCCTCCCTGTGTAGTACAGCTGGGGGTCCGGTCCACTTGGGGATAACAGAGACCTGGCTGTGCATGAAGAAATTGCAAAAGACTGCCGCCAAGGGGGCAGCCCCAAGTCCACTCTAGGTTTAGCTGAGGAAAACTGTTCAGGCAGATGGCAGGACTGAAACAGATGTGAAACATACTCACAAGTTCTCCACCTGCTCTTGGTGGGTCTGATCACTTATTAGTAGAATCATGATGGGCCACCCAGGGATCAGCCGGGAGCGCTTCTGTGGCCCTGGTGGGCATCCTCTGGTCTTTTGTTCCACATGTTATTCTCAGTAAGCAAAAGACTGCTTTCTTTGATACACTCTAATATGAGGTGCAATTATAAGTAAAATGATCCCTTTAAAAAAGACACAGGCCAGCGCCTCACAGAGCCAATGACTTTTATTCTCTTCAAAGTGTCCCATTGGAGGCACTGCACTGTGTTTATTCCAACAACACTGCCTTAACTCAAGCTATTTTAGAATTTTTTTGGAACCAGTTTTTGGGTATCTATATGGTGGCCCTCTTCTAACTTAGAGTCTGGATGTGTTTTCTTTTTAAATATCATTTCCAAACAAGTTTTTTTATTAAGGTAAGATGAATGCTGTCAGGCTGGTTAATACTATTTTGGCAAAAATTGAGATGAAAACTTTGTTATGGGATTAAGTTTCCCATGTGATTTTTAAGCTGCCCCTGATGCAATCCCCAGATAGAAATTTTAAAAGTGTTTTGAGCGATGGCAGCATCATCTATGCCCGTTAGCAACTTATTTGGTAGACTTTAATTTGGATGTTTAAGTTCTGGTATACTTGTTAAATGAACCAACTAATCCATTAACAAACCAATGAGCTAACCAGCAAAAGCTTCATTGACTTATACTCCTATCTTGGAGTTCCCACACTAGCTGCTTTCTGCCTGGACATCAGAGGAGAGTTAAAAGTTTTCTCCCTTGCCTTGCCTGTCCCTGCCGCACTACAACGCACCTCTCCCAGGGTCACTCACTTCATCCGAGATGCACACGCCTCCCCGCTCTCGCACCAGCTTGAAGGCTTCCTTTAGAAACCCCTTCGGGTACTGAACAATTCCACTCACCCCCTGAAAAGCACCAAACCAAGAAGACCTATAATAACAGCCCTGTGAAACTGCTACAAAAAATTATCCTCGTTAGCATTAGTAATACTAGCAATTTTTAAAATGGTCTCTAGAACTGTTTCAATTATGGGTGAAAAGAAGGGTGTTACTCTGATGCCATACCTTTTGGGAAAAGGAAGCAAATGCTTATTCTTTTCTGAGATTAGAAAAAAGTACGTTAAGGGGACTTGGTAGTCAGTCCTGGTGGTTAAGATTTGGTGTTCTCATCACCATGGCCCCGGTTTGTTTCCCGGTTAGGGAACCACACCACCCATCTGTCAGCTGTCACACTGTGGTGGCTGCATGTTGCTGTGATGCTGAAAGCTATGCCATGGGTATTTTCAAATACCAGCAGGGTCACTCATAGTGGACAGGTTTTAGTGGAGCTTCTAGACTAAGACAGACTAGGAAGGAGGCCCAACCACCCACTTCCAAAAAAAATTGGCCATGAAAACCTTGTGAATAGCACTGGAGCATTGTGTGATATTATGCCGGAAGGTGAGAGGATGGTGCAAAAAGACCGGGCAGGGTTCTGCTCTGCTGTATGTGGGGTCACTATGAGACAACACTCACAACAAAAGAGGACTTGATAAGATTGAAGAAAGTCTCCCCATGACAGTGTGGGTATTAAGCAACTAAAAATTGCTGGGGTTTCCTTTTCTTTAGAATTTTAGGAATTCAGTAGTTTCATCTCTCTAGCTGTTCAGTCTGGGGATGCAGGAGATAGTTTTTTAAAATTCAATTCAAAGTCAGGGGCCCTTTTTTCCCAAGGGGATCAAGGCAATGAATTGAATTTGGAGACAGACACAGCAATGGTCACTTAAATAATTTGGAATTCTCTAGAAGGTATGAGTTAAAACTCTCTGATAATTTAAAACTGAGCTCAGTTAGTGTCTAAGGTTAATATACCCACTTGAATCGGCTCTACAAAAAATCCAGCAATTGATTTGGCCACAGCAGTGCTCAGAGTATCTTTGAACTGTTCGATGTACTGGTCTTTCGCTTGGCAGCAGTCTGCAAGAAACGAACAAACAATTTGAAGACGTGAGAATAGCATCCAGAAGAACAAGGAAAAACACAGAAAAAAGAAAACAGGATGAGTAAATTGACTAGAGTCCCTCAGAACACAGTAGACCAGGATATGAAGGTACGATTTCTGGAGGGGGAACGTTCTCTCAGAACGACTGTGCTTCGGGTCCAGCATTGAGAGTAGGATAGCCATGGAGTCATAAAGAAACCACTTTAGTCTTTTCTGTCTGGGGAAGGAATGACTGAACTGTCACTGAGTCTGGTATAGATATCTATTTCACCTAGGGATACCCATCCTCTCTACTGGGTAGATTTAATTCAAATATAACTTGGGTGTGGATGTAATCTATTTGAAAATAACTCTATTTACCTTGTATTGCCACTTAATCTGATGTACAATTTTAAAGCCACGAAGTGTCTGAGTCTTTAGAGTTAGTAAATACCTTTACAGAATAATTAGAATTCAGTCTAAAGAGGAATGTGCTAGAGCTAGATAACTTTCATCCATTGCAGCCAGGGAGAGGAAGGCTTCTCCTCTGGTCCTAGATCGACTGCCTCCAGACGTGACTGAACCTTCAGAATTCTTATCTGCACCTGTATTTTGGTTCTAAATAGCACCACACAGTCTCTGAACTTAAACCCATATCCATGGATGGCAGAAGGGATGCAGAAGGAGACGTGGATGTGATGGAAGCCCCCAGCCCCAGCAACAGTGAAAGCAGTCTGGGAAGCCACCTATCATCCTACCACTTTCTTAGAGGCGTGGAGGCAGCCTTGTTTCCTGAAGGCCAGAGATAAGGAATAGAAACCTTCAGTCATCACCATCAACACTGAAGCATAAATATATTGTATACTTTGGCTCTTCATCAAAAAGTGGGGAAAACACAACCTGGCCCCAAATATACGTTTGAGCTAAACGTGATATTTGGGAAAGCTTACTTGACAGTGGTACCTGATATCTTTGGTTAGTTGGAATTGGGGGTTGAGTGTATGTGGAAGGAAGTAATGAAAAGGATATCAAACCTAGAAAGCACATGTTGTTTGATGGGCAGGATATAGTGGACAAATAAATCTATTCCTCTAGAGATTGAAATTTCCTATTTTTATTAAGAGATGAAGAGAAAACAGCCTAGAATGACCCTGAAGGATGGAATAGATATATGTTCAAAAGATATAATTTGGAAATTTAGGATGCCCATTTGTAGCTAGAGAAATCAAATGGTAAAGCAAAATCAACCCCAATGGCTTAAATTTGGGCAAAACCAAACCAAGAGAAGGTTTTGCTTGAACCTGATTTTTCATGATTTTTTTTCATTTTTAATCTTTCATGATTTTTTTTTCCCCTACTGCCCACAAGTTCAGTGATGAGAGAGCTCATTGACCCTAATCAGCTTTTTAATTCACTTGGCGTTTACTTCATTGGCTCATTGCTCTAATTCCAGGTCAGGTTGGCTCTGAGGAGAGACTTGGTGCTTGGTGTTACCATGACAACATCAAGCCGGAAAGGAGTGGATGCTCTGCTGCATGCTATCCAAGGAACGGAGTAGATATGGAGACATTTTAATTTTAGCTGGTGAGATAGAAAGAGTTAAGCAGAGTGAGGAACCAAGAAAGAACCATTTTTAAGGAAAAGGAAATGTCTTGCAAAAGGAAGAAAAGAACGACATGATCAGCACCAGGTTTGGGACATTGTGGGGGCAGTGGATATTGAGAGGTGAATTTCTTCACAGGTTACACCTGAAATTCATGGCCTGGAATTCCTGAGGAGGAGGTGGAGGAAGGTAATGAAATCTACCATAGAAACATCTCTATTAGGCTCACAAAATGGAGCCCTCTTCTGCTTATGCAGGAAGTGATGACATAATTTGGAGGTGAAAAATCTTCTACAAATGTTGGCACCTGTCTGTGCTCAGTGAATGAACCCTAAGAGGAACTGAGGACTGGAGCACCTATCTGTTGCCAATCTTCTTGCTTGAGGAAGATTCACCCTGAGCTAACATCTGTGGCAATCTTCCTCCATTTTGTTTGTGGGTCCCTGCCCACATACAGCATGACTACTGACGGGTGGTATAGGTCTGTGCCTGGGAACTGAACCTGGGCTGCTAAAGTGGAATACACTGAACTTAACCACTAGGCCGTGGGGTCGGCCCCTGAATATACTGTTTTACAACAAAGACCAAACACTTCTTAGGCCCTAAAAATGCTAGAGGAGGCTGAAGTCCCTTTTTGTCTTCCAGGTCAATTTAAAGATATGGTATCTCTCTTGTCTCTTAAAGATATGAGTTAAGAAAAGAGCTGACTTCATCTATGCCAAGGACAACAGTTTAGAGAAGCAGAAATGGATGTCTGTCACTATCATTTAGCCTCCAGATGCCACTAGAGAGATGACCACGGGGTTCTAGTATTTTCAAGTTGGCCTAAGGCAGAGGAGAAGGCCTCAAAGAGGGAGGAGGCAAGAAGATGCAGAGAGAGACAGACGCTGAGGAGGGATGGAAGGAATGGCCATCTCATGAGTGCTTCTGCCTACTAGGTTCCATGATGGTCGTTGGCAGTCAGATTGAGGTCTGTGAGGTGCATCTAACTGATTCTAGTTCTTGATGCAATAAAGATAAGATGTATAGGTATGGCTGTGTTTGCCACTGCTATTGTCTGCCTTCCTCTACAAAAAGCTCTCTTCCCTTCATCTCGTGAAGCCCTGTGATAAGGGGGCACGAGGCTATTGTTCTCTGCATTTTATAAATGAGAAAACTGAGGTAGAAGATGAAGCTTTTGCTCATAGCTGAATCATGGTAGAGCCGAGAGTCGAATCCAGGTTTCCTGACTTCATGTGTCTCCTCAATCCTGGCCAGCAGAACAAGAGTTCTTTCTAAGCCTGGGTTCATCCCACTGGCACATTAATATGAACAAGGAAGGTCACTGTTTGGGAGCACTGGCTTTGGAGTCAGAAGACTTGGGGTCAAGTCTTAGCTCTCCTGCCTTCTAGGGGTGGACCTTGTTTTTTTTCATCTTTAAAATGGAGAGTTTGAATTACAACTTTAAACTTCCTTAGAGTTTTAAGTTCTGTAACCAGGACATCTTGTTCCAAGGCTCATTCTTTCATCCTCCTACCTCATTTTGCCATTATCCCATCTGAATTTTAAGATGACTGTGAATTTCCTTCCTTTCAGAGCTGATTTTTAAGATTTCCATTTTCATTCTTCCTCTCAACCCCGTGACTCATACTATTCCATTAAAGCTCTTGTGGCCAGAGCATTTAGTTCTTTTCATCAGAACTACTTAGGAGCAGTTATTGAAAAGGTCCTGCACTGTGATGACACGGATGAGGGGGGCTTGCTGATTAGCAAAGAACAGATGCTTTTTCCACGCCTCCTCTCCCTCCAGAACAGGTAAAGAATGCAAATAAAAATGGGATTGATAACTCGATGCTTTCCGTGTGAGACTGCCCTTAAAACTTTTGCAAGAGATATCAGCAGCCTTCAGGACTGGCCTTCTGTTTTGACAGATGCTCTCATTTTGGTTGGCATTCTGAGTCCCTGGGGGAGCTTCTTGACTGGAGTTTTGAGATTTCGAGAAGTAATCTTTTCCTTCCCTGCTTCTTCCACTGAGATTGGTAAATAATCCCACCAAACTCGTTTTATTTTAAAATTGATAGCAGAGCTGTTGCTAATAGAGCTCCTTTAATTAAGTACCAGGTGATGGGCTGTTTTCATCTTAGTTCTGAGAGCATGAGATGCTTTTCCTCACAGCCAGAAGGACGCTCTGATAGTACAGCGGTAGCAGGCCTGAGAAATGTTGATTCAGTGAGGGGTTACTTTCTAGTTTTGTTTCCTTTGGACTTTTCCTTTCCTGTTTTTTCAGATCTGCTCACTGAGGAATGGTTCAGCCTTTCTCCGTGTTCCTTACCCGTCCTGACCTTCCACCATGTTCCTCCCTCCCTGCCCAGCTGGACCTGGTGCACAGCTGCATTTCCTAATGGTTTGCACTGGAGAATCTCGACAGTGGCTTCCTCCCCAAGGGCCGCGGAAAACATCTGGGCACATTGTCTACAAAGGACAAAAGAAGGAGTTTGGCAAAAGGTGAACACGAGATAGTCCGTTTGGGGGAGGATATGGTACCAATCAAGGGAAGGGGGCTTCTTAATTTGATATTGAGTCCTCCCTTACTCCTCCCCGACTTAGGATGAAAACCTAATATTCTTCTTTGAAGAGATAATTTTTTTCTTAGAAATCAGTTATGTGGGCACACTACAAAGGAAACTGATTTCAATGTCAGCCTGGAAACAACTTGCTCAAGAGTTTGGTGGGTAAGGGAATCTGAAAGAATAAGAATAATTAGGTATCTTATTCTGATGCTGAAAAGGTGGGTACAAAGATGAGTCTAGAAATTTTATGCATTCAAGACTCTGAGAACTAATTTCACTGTATTTATTTGCAGTTTGCTTGATTTTATTTAAAAGCACAACAAATAAAAAAACCCTATCATTAATTATTACTCAGACTCCGAAGGCCTTTCTAAGAAACATTTCCCCCAAATGGTCTTCAATTTAATTGTCAAATTGAGCCCCTGATTAATTATAGGCTTTATATTAGTATCTAATCATAATACCTGGAAAATCTGATCAATTATTCCACATACCCAGAAGCCTTTAGAGAAATAAGACAAAACCCTCAAAACTCACTGATTCACAGCCTGCTGCACCGGGGAGTTCCATCTTGAAGTACCCTACATTTGTCAAGCCAAGTATGTAAGGGCTGCCTCCATGGTAGGCTCCTCTGCAGGGAAAAAACAGTAGGGGGATAGGATTCAGTTAATTTTGGTCACCGGCCTGTGGAATAGTGAGTAGGACAAAAGAGAAAATCCTTGAAGTGTATGGAGATGAAATAGAACACCGTTAATATTCAACTCCAATGATTTCTAAGAAATCTAAGCCTATGTCAGGTGAATTTACTTATTTATCTTTTATACTGGAATCATAGATTTGAAATTATAAAAGGAATTTTGGAGACCATCTGACCAAGAACTCTGACCTTAGCACCTGCCCTATCCTGTTACTCTAAAGTAGTGAGACTTATCTTTTAGCAACATGCTGGAAATCATCTATTCAATGTTCAGAGCACTGGCCTTCAAAGTAACCACCTTGAGAAGCCAAATATTTGTTCTTGTGATGCAGCTGTTTCTCAGCATCTTTGGGGACTCCTCTCTAAGAGCCTCATAAGCTACCTTATTGGGCATATAAGAAACACGTTTTGTTTCTTTTTGAACCGGAAAGGGTTATGTTTAGTAATAAATCATTCTAACCACCAGTTGTGGCTTCAAATGAATTTTGATAATTTCCCAAGTCAAAATCACTGTTAAAAGATGATTTAGGATATTAAGACTGCAAATGGATGGTCATATATCTTGAAAGAAGAGACACAAACACTTGTTGACCTCTAGTAGCACCATGACTGCTTTGAATAGATCAGTACTTATCTGGACATACACATTCTGCCATATTTATTCAGGTGAAACGTCAATCACAATTCTTTCTTGCCATATTTTCTTGATAGCAAATGCTTGCTCATGCCTGTAGTCCCTGCATGTGCGTTTTATAAGGCTGTGTAGTATTGGATGTGCTGTGGTCAACAGATCTTGTGGAAATCAAATCTTCTTTTGAATTTAGACATAAATTATGGCCAGACAGGTGAAAGAATGAGACTATTTCTTCATTCCATCAACTTTTACTCTATGTCACTCCTGTCTTTTATACAAACCTTATTGTAAGAGTCTGTTTAAATGTGTTATATAAAATTACCCAAGGAGGCAACTGTAAGCAAAATTCTTAGTTTTCTCTTATTTTTAATGCTAATATAGCCATCAAATGTTTATAATTAATCTATTAAATTATCGATTCTCAAAAGTTACCTAAAGGAGCAAAAATATACTGGGTTAGATATACATCCTCTGAACCTCAAAAGAATAAAAGATGAAAAACTGGTGCAGCTGGCACTATGAAATAACTATATGGCTCTTTATCATAAGCAGAGATTAAAATGGGCCCAGTGTGACACGGTAAGGTCATGATCTTCTATGGGTGTCGACCAGTCATTCACCGCTTCGCATATGTTGTAGTCAATACCATGTAGTCAATATCATGTCTTCAAAGATAAAAGCTGTCATATGACCTTCTCTTTAATTCCATAGGAGGATCTATGACATAACTAGGACTCCAACCTGTTTGTTACCCTAGACAGGGAGCTCCTACCTTGGATCAGGATAATTTGGATGATGTTGTCCAGTCATAAAATTCATTTGACTGATCCTGCCCTGAAACCTAAAATTAGAAAAATACTCCTGGGAAAGTCCCTGTCCCCCTCCATGCTATATTTTAAATAAGCATTTAGTATTGAGGTGAGTCAATGTTATTAAAGTGGACTATTCCAAGGTGTGATTACCTGAAAGAAATGATGTCTATGTTAGTTGAGTGTGCTCTGGCCATCAGCATGGCTAGGTCGTTGGCTTCTGAGCCACTGTTCGTAAAGAAAATGACCTGGAGGGAAAAGGAAGACACGTGGCCTCATACTTTATTTCCTTTTTTACCCAATTAATTCAGAATTGGTAAAGACTGCGTTTTCCAGCCTCTGCTTATGAGGGAGAGCTTCCTTCAGATCAGGAGTCCCATCGTTTAACATTAATTCTGCAGCTCTTCATTGAGCAGCTGCTAAGTGCTAGAGATACAAAGATGCCTAATGGATTGTCCCAGTTGTGAAACATTCTGGACTTTCATTGGCTTTACCTGATGCTCTGCAAAATGATAAGATGGGGAGACTTGCTGAGGAGGGCACAGTGCTTAGTGGCTGAGTGGATTCAATGACTGGGTCTCTTGGCTCCTTAACTTAAACCACCCCACCTGATTCTGGAGGCTTGGGACAATGTGGGCTCCCTGATCCTGCAGCCCCAGAGGATATCCCAGCCTGTCTGTTCAGTGTGTGTATGTTGAAAAAACAAGCAAGCAAACAAAAAATGAAGCTCATCCTGGCCAAAAGAAAGGGGAGAACTAAAAGGTACTGGTTCCTCCAGGCTCGGGGACTGGGAGGCATGTGCTGTGTCCTTGCTGACTTCCTCGCTTCTGCTCTTCCAAGAACATGCCTGGGTTGACCTTAAGGTGCAGCTATCCTAACTTTATTCATCTCTTCTAGATAATAAAGTAGTAATAATAGCTAATACCAGGTACCTAGCACTGTTCTGAGTGCTACATATGTATTAACTCATTGAATCCTGAAATGCAAACCTTGGCCAACATTTTAACATCTCAATTCAGTTAAAAAATTCAGTAATTTCAGGTGCAAAAAATAACTCATTTAGCAAAAATATCTAAGTGCATCTTAGACCAAAGGAGCTTAGTGGTATATTAATTTTATAAAACAATGGCTTCACTCTTTGTGAAAGAAGAAGTGCGGATGACTTTGCAGAGGGGCTGTGGAGCAAAGAGATGAAAACCCCTTGAGGAACATAGAGGAGTGTCAGGAGGGCTGGCGCTCCTGCTAAGTGATTTCTGCAGAGATGTGGTAGTGAGGAGAGCGACCCAAGAGAGGCAGAGACTTGGAGCTGATGAAGTGAACATTGTCTGCTTTCACCAGCAATTCGTAAATTCCATTTTTCTCCTTGATTGCTTTCAGATGTGGCTATTAGCTCACTAATTTCAAATGTTCACTACACATGCCAAATTCCCTGCCTACATTCCCGCTTCCTATGGCAACTCGCCTGGGATGGCGAGTCTCTTTGAGCTGGGAGCATCGTACCTTCAGAGGCTCAGGAAGAATCGCGGAAAGCTTCTCTGCGTATTCATGGATCGGAAGGTTGAAGAAGATGGGACTTGTATGCCACAGACGGCCAAGCTGCTTTTGTGCCACTGCGTTTACCTTCCTAGATAAACAGGAGAGCAGAGTGACCCACACTGCCAGTGGGCATGTCCCTCCCAACACACGTGCTGGACATTGAACTTGAATACACGGCTGTTTCTCAAAGAGTTTCAAGAGGCTGATTTCATCCACACACAAGAAAGAGCTTCTCTAACCACCGGAGGACTCTGGCAGTGGGATGTGTCGCCTCCAAAGGGAATGAATTCCTCACGAAGAGAAGTGTTCAAAAGAAGACTAAATAATTGTCTGTTAGAGATTTCAGAAAAGAAATTACTGGTTTAGAAGCGAGTTTGAACTTAGAATCTCTTCTAACTAGATTTTCTCATTAACTACCCTTTAAACAGACTGGAAAATAGAGATGACTTGATGGAAGTCTGAGTGTCTTCTCATTTTATTCTTCTAAAGAATTACAGATCCATCAAGTACCCGTATACAGACGAACAGTTTTTCCTTCAAAGGAGATTCCAATAACTGGGTCTTACTAGCGGTCGGTGTTCATGAACATTTTGTAACTATGAAACCACATTCTGTGAAGTATTAGAGGCTTCATGAGGGATTGTGGAAGCTAAGAGTAGATAGAAATGTGGAACCTGACTTGGAATGCCTTGAAAAGACAGGCCCAAGTGTTTGAACTTGACCTAAAAGACAGCAATTGCTAAAGTTTGTTACATACTGGTTCTGTTTGTCGTTAATAACTGTCACACCAAAAAAATCAGTTCACTGGTTAAATGGTTTTGAGAAATAGCAGATCAAACAGATTTCTTTACTGTAGGACTTGTCAGTACCTTTAAGAGGTTAACATGCAATGTTTCTCCCCAGGAGGGAGATATAGCTTAAAGTGTTTCCCAACCTTATTTTCTTATGGGAGCCTTAACCAATGAACCTCTCCTGTGATCAGCGTTCCATGGAACTCACTTTAGAAAATTGTGGAGTATCAATAAACCCAAACAGAAGAGACCCTTGACAAGAACATTGTTTAGCAAAGTAAATCTGAGAGCCATACGGAAGGGTAGAATGGAGCAGAGAAGACCGGTAACGGTGAGGCCAGCTAGAAGGGGAGGGTAGCCTTCCAGGTGTGGGAGGAGAAGCAGCTCCTAGGAGACTGGCGTTGGTGGGAATTAGTGACAGGGGCTGGAAGAGGAGGCATTTCAGTGGAGGGAAAGCTAGATCTTGGTATCAGGTTGGTTATAAGGAAGGAAAGGCAGGGAAGAGTCAAAGATGGCTGCAACACTCTTGCCTGTAACGGTGGGGAAATCCCAGGATTGGTTGAGAAACACAGCCAGTTGTTTAGCTATCCGGCTCCTAGAAGAGGACTTTCGCAGAGTAGGTGGCTCATAACGGCTCCCTGAATAAATGGATACGTGAGCAGAAACAGAATTTGGAAAGCATGATAGATTTGGTCTTGGTAATGCTGAATTTCAGCTGGTGGTGGAATATCACAGGGTGGCGGGGGATGTTCTGGAGGCTGTGGGAAATTTGGGGCATTTTAATGCACACTCAGGGTTTATTAGAGTTATTATCACAGCTTGGTGAGGGGCCAAGGCTGAAAAAACAGAGTTGGGTAAGGCTTCTGAAAACGTAACAACTAATGACCAGAGGTGGGGACATGGGGTGGGACCGATTTGGGGGGGGGATTAATAGAGGTGAAGGGAGTAGAGAGAGAGAGCAGAGGGTTAAGGAAAGAGCCTGAGACACCCAGGGTTAGCGGGTCAGAGGGGCAAGTTGAGGGGCCAGAGGGAGGTCAGGAGAAGCACAAAGGTCATGAAAGCCAGTGAGAGCGGTTCGTTAACAGGGACAACGTTGAATATTATTGGGAGGATTCAACGAAAATGCTTAAAATTTTTCTCGACTTCATTTTTCTTTACTTCTTTCATGTGCGTTTCTCCTATGTTTTAAATTTCACGTGAAGTTTATTTGCTCCTTGGGACCTCGCATGGGACTGGTGCCTCCTGAGGACAGAAACGGGAAGAAGGCTGTGGTGGCAGAGAGTGAAGGCTGGACCCCGAGGGAAAACTCACTCCTCACCACCTGACAGCTGCTTGCAGAAAAGACCTTTTGCTCCTATGTTGACAGAAGGGCCCAAACCTATTCGATTTATTTAGGCTTGCTGCTTTATTTCTGTCCCACTTAATGTGAATTTTATTGACCAGATTATTAAAGGCAAGCTAGAATAGACAGTAAAATGACATGGCTGCACAGAAAGCAAAAGGACCACAGCAGGACCTGCCGAGGCTATTTGTGTGTGTGGATTGGTGATTAAGGTCACAGAGAATCTCAAGATTAATGGAGCCGTACACTTCCAATGTAAATTTCTGGCTATGGTTACATCTTTGTCTTATCATTCTTTCTTTCCTCATCCGTCGTTCAGAGTTGATGAAGACCCTCAGGGCAGAAGTGATTTCTCATCTCTCATCATCCTGCACTCAAACGCCTGCCCCCGTGATCTCTGAGAACCGCCTGCCTTTCTCTTCCTTCTGCCTTTTCCCAGTGCTTTCCCTCTCTTTGGAAAGCTGTTCCTGGTGGGGAGAAACACACACACAGCAACACTCCAATCACGTGGTTCATGCCACATTGCATGTGCAATGAGAATGACTAAACCTTGTATTGTCAAGCGGAGAAAAAGTGCAATGTTAAGATTTTTTTGTTACCCAGGAAATAGTAGAGAGCATGCCAGCCATAAACTGGGGTATGCCTAAAGAGAGAGAGCTTTTAACCAGGGGTCTGAATCACTAACATGATCATTGACCTGTTTCCCACATATTCTTCTGGAGTGAAAACCCCAGAATTTTAAGGATACTTACGGGTGGCAGTGACCAACACCGACAGTGACAATCCCAGAAAAGAAGTCCAGGTATCTGTTTCCCTCATGATCAAATAGCCACTCCATGTGACCCTGATGGAGCAACAAAGGCTCTGCAAAATACGCCGTCCGCGGGGGATAGAGATGTCGATTGTTGATCTCCAGAACACGCTGATAGGCAAGGGACTGTAGATAGGCAAGATTTAAGTATTTACAGTCTTCCTTTTCCCCATCTCCACTTTTTCTTTTTTGAGGAAGGTTAGCCCTGAGCTAACTACTGCCAATCCTCCTGTTTTTTTGCTGAGGAAGCCTGGCCCTGAGCTAACATCCATGCCCATCTTCCTCCACTTTATATGTGGGACACCTACCACAGCATGGTGTGCCAAGCGGTGCCATGTCTGCACCTGGGATCCGAATGGGTGAACCCTGGGCCGCCGACAAGCGGAATGTGCGAACTTAACCGCTGTGCCACCAGGCCAGCCCCTCCACGTTTCTTACAAGATCGACAGCAAGTAGGTATTGCTGTGCCCCACCTCCCTACTGACTGACCATAGGGCTGCTGCCTGTGCTCACAGTGGGAGTGTTTGTCCAATGTCCTCCTTGCGGGACACCAAGGCCCTTTCTCTCAAGTAGGGGAAGTTATTAATGTGGGCCTTTAATCTCTTTCTAGATCAAGTATAAAGAAATGGGCTGAAATTTTCTCTCTCTCAATGAAAAGCCTTGGCTTTGAGTTGATTTTAGCTGTGGAAAAAAAAAAAGACTTTGGAAGTAAATGTCTGAAATAATGTCTTTTTTTCTTTTTTAGAATAAAAAAATGAAGTGCTGGTGATGTTCATGTCTTTAATTATCAAACCTCTCTCCTATACTTCCCTTCTTTGTAGGTCCTTCCTGACTATCTATTGATTTCGTAATTTCTAACCTATGTGTATTATGTAGAATAAAGGAGTTGGAGAGAGAGAAAGGAAGAGAGAGACAGAGGGAGAGAACACAATCTACTGGCCTGAGAGCAAAATGATAACTTTTTATATATATATATTTTTAAAGATTTTTTTTTTTCCTTTTTCTCCCCAAAGCCCGCCGGTACATAGTTGTATATTCTTAGTGGTGAGTCCTTCTAGTTGTGGCGTGTGGGATGCCGCCTGATGGCTTGGTGAGCGATGCCATGTCTGTGCCCAGGATTCGAACCAGTGAAACCCTGGGCTGCTGCAGCAGAGTACGCGAACTTAACCACTCGGCCATGGGGCTGGCCCTCAACTTTATAGTTTTTGATGAAAGACTCAGGAAGGTCAGATCATGCATTGCCATATGAGACAGTCAAAAGCAGAACTGTTTTTTTTTTTTTTTTTTTTTGGTGAGGAAGATTGTCACTGAACTAACATCTGTACCAATCTTCCTCTATTTCCTATGTGGGATGCCACCACTGCATGGCTTGACAAGCAGTGTGTAGGTCCACACCCAGGATCCGAACCTGTGAAACCAGGGCCGCCAAAGTGGAGTGTGTGAACTCAACCACTATGCCACTGGGCTGGCCCCAGAATAACATTTTTAAAAGCAGATGTGTGCCATCCCACTTGTGATATATGTGTTTGTGTGTGTGTATATATCTATATTTATATCACTGTGATACATATATGGTGATGGATAGTCTCCTTCTTGTACTCTCTCTCTCTCTGTCTCTGTCTCGTCTCTGCCTCTGCCTCTGTATCTTTCACACATAAACACACAATTCATACAATAGTGTTGAATGGAGTAAGAGGGTTCAGATGGTCCCAATGACTTAAGTGATAAAATATCTGGGATGGGATGGCTCAACGGCAGGCAGGGCCAGGTGGGTCCTTCCTGAGGAAACAATTTAGCCCTTTCAAGAAGAACCACCTCTTTTGAGTTTTCCTGAAGTTCTGATTCTTACCTGGTATTTTTCAGGGATGAAGTCACACGGAGGCATTCTGGGTTTTGTGTGAACACCAAGCTTGGTTACAGATGTCCAGAAAGCTCCTATGAAAAATGAAGTGAGTTAGAATCCTCAGCTAACCCTCACACAGGCACATTTGTATGAATCACCTATAGTTAACCTGAATCAAGGTCCTTAGGCAATTTTATTTCTTAGTTTAAAAAAAATCATTTAAATCAGCCTTTGGTTTGGATTTAAAAGCTGAAGTATCTCAATAATAAATTTTCTGGAGGAAAAAAAGATAGTTCCTGTTGAATCTAGTCAAGAAAGGCATGGAGGATGTTGGGGGAAGTCATTGTTTCTCACACCAAAGTCTCTTACAAGCTTGGGAAGCTCTTCCACCATGCCTCGTGTCAACAACAATTCTCTTTTCCGTTGGCCAAACCTCTGCTGGTGCAGTGTGTTGCTGGAATACATCCTCTTTGTTTATAGAGGTGCTTTCTGGTTTTGAGCTGTCTAGAGCTTGAGTCCCAGTGCCTATCCCAGGTCCTGGTACTGGGTTGGCTCTCAATGAACAAGGAATGAATAGCTGTTGACTATTCTTACAGGGAATGAGGAGAGATGGGTACTAGGCAATGTACGGTGTTAACAAATACATGTAAATCGATCTGGAAGACGAAACCTTCCTCCAAAACACGGCAACACAAAGACCCTGGCAACACAAGACCATGATAAGGCAAAGATTAGCTGAGCCAGAGGGATCATTATTTGGAGTTAGAAGGGACCTAAGATTTTTTTGTGTGTGTATGTGTGTTAAAATGCTCATTTTATAGATGGGGAAACCAGCCTAAAGTGGTAAATTAATTTGTGCAAGGTTACCAAGCTAGTTAGCTGCAGAACAAGACGAATAGTCCGAGCTTCTGACTCCCAGCCTAGTCTTTCACATATTCATTGGCCACCTTCGTCCTCCCCTTCCAGCACTGATTTTGACCTTTTCATAGCAGTGGGATTAATAATGGAACCAAAGAATATCAGAGCTGGAAGAGACGTCTAGACACCTTATAAGTACTCTCAGAAAAGAATGCTGCTGATTTTGAAGATTCAAGGTCAGTGTCATGCTAATTGTACAAGTGGAGAGAGCTGAGGAAATGATGTCTCCTGTTCAGCACGAGGGTTTGAATCCCTGGATGAAATGCTGGTGTTTTGTGTGGCTATGAAGTCAGAGTCCCGAGAAACACAATGAAAAATTGTTTTTAAATGAAGCTGGAAAGTAACAGCTCTGAATATGTTTTCTTTCAAAGAGATCTCTTTCACTTTTCTGCTCTAAATAATCACTAATGTCATTAATATGCTCTTACTTTAAAAGCAAGTGAGTTTTGGCTATCTATGCATAGAAATGACCAAAAAATGATAGCTTAAGTTTTCTGAGAATTTCACCTTTTGAAAGGCTTTTCATTGTGTCTCTCTACATTAGCTACTCTTCTGAGATGGGGAAAAAATTCTGAGTGTTTCTAAGAATTCAAATTCCCTTTATTCCTTCAGTCTCATTTTCACATCTGCAAAATTGGAGTTGCCCGTTGAGGAGGCTGTAAGGTCTCTTGACTTCAAGGTTATAGGAATTACGAAAGTAGGCTGGAGGGGGAAGAGAGTTGGAGAGAAAGATTTCATAAAGAAAAGCCTGAATTTTAAACAGTTGAGGCAGGTTTACTCATTCATTCATTCATTCATTCATCAAACTGATAGGAATATGATGGTGCAATGAGGGCCCCAAATGAGAGACAAAAAGTCTTGTCCTCAGGAAGGAAGAAAAGAATAAAGATGGATAGCAAGCAAGCAAGTAGGAAAAATACTTAGTCAATAAGTGAAAAATAAATCTAGATAGCTTTTCAAAGTCTATTTCCTTTCATAGCTCCTCTCTGACTAAACAACCCAAACTCAAAAAATAATAGTAATAATAATAATTTATGGACAAAAAGAAACAGAAGTGCCATGGTTTTCATTATTTACCAGAAAAAAATTAAAATCTAAATATCTAGATGATTGCTTGCATTCTTTATTCAAAATAGCTTATGTTTTGAGGACAACATAAGAGTTGGGGGTTAATAAAGCTTCTCTTGGGTTCTTGGGAATTGTGTGTGCACACATGCCTGTTTGTGTGTGCATGCACGGGGGCTATATGTGTATGGGAGGAAGATAGAGCCAAGAGGGGTGGGGGAAGGGGTAACTGGAATATGAACTAATAGAACTGAACCCCAGGAATATTTCTAAAAGGGCATTTTTTTCTTTCTTTTTATCATTTCAACTGGTCTGGTGTTGCCTTTTTAGGCCTGATGCCAAACACAGATGACAGCTAATGATTTTCATCCAATTCACCAATTTCCACTTCAATTCACCTGGAAAACTCAAGACATTTAAAGATGGCATTCAGTTTGGAGAACACCACCCCCTTGTATAACAAATGCCAGGTGGGTAATGGAGTTTGATTTTCCAGCTGCCTAATTCTCATAGAGTTTTATAGCAGACCAGTCACCTTAACTTTGTTTTCTTCCCCCAAAATCATAATATCAAAAAGTGAAAAACTGTTGGGAAAGGTAAGTGAGAAAAATAAATTTTTGTGGGCGTTTAAAAATTCCAGGGGAAATTCTCTGTAACATTCAAGATTTTTCTAATGTGCATAACTAGCTTTCGGCACAGAGAAGGTATTTATCAAGGGCTTCGTTACTCTTTCAAGTTAAAAAAAAGGTTATAAAATATTTGAAAATACGTAATGAAGTCAGTCGGTAGAATATTAAGGTGATTTATTAAAATGCTAATTACGTCTTATTTCTGCATAGTATTTTAGTTAGCTTAAAAAGACTTGTCACTTTGAGTATCTCTTTTGATACTTCAGATACCCAATGAGTTAGGAAAGGAAGATTTTATCATTTATCTTAGAGCCAAGTCAATGAGGATTAAATGTGGGGCATTTGGAATTTTGAGGGCCTCCCATAGGGTCAAGGGCTTGAGATGCTGCCTCCCATGGAGGCCTGTTGAGACTAAGTTGCGGTCTGGATAAATGAGAGGCAGTGGTTGGTTGGGGAGAAATTTTTTCTCATCTGCTCCTCATTGAGCTGGAGCTACCAGCTCTCGGACCTGAGAGAAGATCCTTCTCCCTTCCTAACCTGTGCCATGGTCTACTGGAAGTTATGAAGGAGGCTCGTCATTGCTGTTCAGTATCATCCAGTCCCCTTACCATGATCAATAGCACCCTAGTCTCTCTGTGGGGAACCACCTCTGCAAAATCGTGTGCTCTCAGTGACAGGATAACAATACCAGATGCCTGCCTTCCAAAGGGGAAATCAAGGGATGGGTGTGAGATCTCTGATGGGTGAATGAGATGTCCTCTCTTTAGGCCTGGAAGTCTTGAGCCAATGACCTGGATGGAGAGAATGGCTGGACGCTCTCATCAGACCCATGACACGCTTATAAGGCTGTTCCTGCTGTGAGTTACTGCTATTCCTGCTGGACCTTCCTTGGCTTCTCTTCCTGCCTACTCCTGCCCACCTCCTTTCTCTCTTGTTGATTCTTTCAGCCCCTTCCCTTCCTCCATAATCTTCCAATACATACTCTTTTGCTTAAGTAAAGCGGGGCCAGTTGCTGTGGTTCACAAACGAGAGCTCTGCCTAATTCTGGGGCTGGTGAATCCTTCTTCCCTTTTAGGAGCAGGCCTTCCCTGAGGCCACCCCTCCTGGCCCTTTGCAGGGTTATATCAGTTCTTCAGTCTCCAGTGAGCACTGCTGGTGGTGCAGGCCGGAGACCATCCATTAGGGCTAATTTTGATGTTTTTCTGAGGAAAGGCGTTGCTCGAGTCTTGGGAAGTTTCTCAGCTGGAAATGAGCATTATTTACCATCCATTTGCCATACTTGTGGGAGCAAAGGCAGATGACTGGAAAATGGTACCTTTGAGCATATACCCCACCTCTCAGGAAATGTTACACCTTTAACAATTGTTAGCTAATTAGTAAGAAGGAAGGCACCGTTGAGATATTTTCTCCAATCTTTTATACCAAAAACAAATTGCTTCTATAACTTTGAGTATATATTTAGCCCTAAAGGGATTGAGTATGTCAAACAGAGGCAAGACTGAATCCTTTATGCACACATATATCATCCAGTATATATGTAGGTGATATACAAGGATTGAGACGTATTTATTTTTGTATATCTGATAACACTTAACACCTAGTGATCTCCCTATCTAACACAGACTCTGCTGCCCCCTCCTTTCATTTTATTTTTCTATCTCCTCACCCTGGTTTGGTTTTATTCATGGCATGGATCTCTACTGAATGTTTTTTACATATTTACTTGTTTATCTGTTCATGCCTGGTCTTCCCCACTGGGATACATAAGGGCAGTGGTTTTGTTTTGCTCCCCGTGGCTCTGTCTATGGTCCAGGTGCATAGTAGCTGCTCAAATACTTCTGATTGAATGTATATTTTGCACACAATGGGTTCTTAAGAAGGGTATGTTCAATGAGGGTGTGTTTGGATGAACAAGCACAAGCAGGCATATATCTAGGTACAGTAGGTGAGAAAGTAGAAATAAAGCCCCAAAGGCTTTTGAAAGGCTAGATCAAGAGTATGACACTCGTGTCTACATGGCATGGGTTTGCAAGATTACTTCTCCTCTGTAGCCCTTGGCGGAGTTACTTTAAGGAGTCCCCAGTGAGTTGATCAAGATCTCTAGGCACCAAGCCTCACCTACCATTTCTAGGACACCTGCTACCATCTGCCCAGCTCCACGACCCTCAGGGGTTAGGGTGGGAAAGCAGAAGCGGGTGGCAGAGAGGGTATTTTCTCTTGTTCTGTCAACAACTAGTACTTTCAGTATAGTGTCTTCCGTACTGAGCCTAAGACCATGGGTATAATTCTAGCTCCTTCTCAGAACCTGTTGGTTTAAGTGGCATCTGGCAAAAGACCCATCACTGAGGGAAAGAGAAATCGAACAGGATTGGAAGAAGAGTGGGTAAGAGAGGGCCTGGTGGAATCACTCTGACTTCGAAGTGAGACACACCTGGCTTTGAATCCCAAGTTGTTGCTTCTGTGTTTCTGCCTTTGACCAAATTTCTTAATTATTCTTTATTCTTCTGTCTCCTCATCTGTGAAATGGAGTAACAGTACTCACTAACAAGTTCAGTTGAAGAGGAAAGGAGATAATCTTTTAAAGCATCAGACATGTGTTAAGTTTCAAAGAATTTCAATTGTCAGGGGGATAAAAAGCAAATAGGATATGAAGGAAGGAGAGAAGAAAAAGAAAGATGAAGAGGAAGTGAAGACAAAATTAATCATAATGGGCAATGGAAAAGGGTTTCCTATACCTGATTAGGGCCTGTGGGGCACAGGGTCTCACTATGGCACATAAACGTGCAGATGGCTGCTTATTCTCATGTTTGCATGAGGAAAATTGGTGAGGAGGTGAGTTCTAGTGAAACAAGATACATGTGAAAATCACAGGCACCTCAAATATAATATGTGAAGCCACCGTTGGCTGACTACCCTGGGTCTCCTTGCATTTTCTTTTCCTGCTGTAGAGAGAGGAGAATCTGAGTGGAAGAAGAGGGCTCAGGGTCTAGTCCTGGCTTCTTGGGTGTCTCTGGGTAAATGACTGCACTTCTCTGAGTCTCAGTTTCCTTGTTGGTAATTGAAGGGATGGTACCCCCTCCTTGGGTCATGGTGTAAATTTGTAAGGATGCTGCATGTCTTTTAAGGTAGTCGTCCTTGAGCATCTCTATATTGAAGTTAATACTTTATTTTTTGAATTGCTCTTCTTTTATTTATTTTTTATATTACAGCTAAGATATCATACAGTTTTTTTTAAATTGTATATAGTCAGGTTTTATTATCTATGAATTTCATTGCAGGACAAAAGGGTGCATTAGGAAATATTGGACATGAGAAGAGGGCATTGGATTTGACAGAGTGAGAACCTGTGTTGGATGACGGGTCTCTAAGACCCATCTAGGTCAAACATTCCAGAATTCCAGGCAACAGGCTCCGGAGCTCAGCCCTTCCCCTCTTGCTGACCCTCTGCTGACCCACATCCCCCTGGTTTCCACTCACGGCTCAAGGAAGGGCACATCTTGGGGATCCTGGGTGAGGAGATCTCCAGGCGCAAAGCTCTCTGCAAATGTCTCCAGGCCAGAGTCATCTCTGCAAGGCAGGAAGCAACCCCTGGGGGAGCAGGTCAGAGGAAGGGCTCCAACTGATCACCAAAAGGCTGGACTTTGAGATTAGAATAGAAGGGGAGGAGCTCTAGAGGGGAGTCTTGGAGTGATTACTGCCACCACTTCTACCAAGCCCAGAGCTTCCAGGGCTGGCAATAGTGCCTAAGGGGAGTAAAAGACACAGGGAGGGGGGAAGGAAGGAGGAGAGAGGGAGAGGGAAAAGAGAAAGAAGGTGGTCAGGCAAAACAAAGATCTTCTGGACTAGTTTTATTAGTTTTGTGTTCATCAGGGTCTCATCAGGGTGAGATTCTCTCTGCAGGAGGGAGGTGATGGGTGTGGGGGAGGGTCAAGACATAGTTGAAGGGCAGAGGTTGAGAAACGAGGGGTGTGAGTAAGAGAGAGAGAGAGAGAGAGAGAGAGGATATGCGTGGAGTGAATGGATAAAGAAATTGGTACTGGTATTGGGGGTCTCAGAGGAAGAGAAGGGGGACTAATGGGGAAGCGGGTGCTCCACACGGAAGGAGAAGGGGCATCAAATAGCTAGAGAAGGCTCTGGATAACAGTGCATCCCTTTAGGTGTCCGAATAGGGCAAGAAGTTGAGAGCTGAGGAGTTAGGGTGCTTTATTTTTATTACACTTTAATTTCCTGAATTGTCATTTGTCACTCCTGCGTCCTCCCACCCCTAATCACCAATGGGTAACTCTTTGGTGTGTTTAATATGTATCTTTTTGTTAGTATGTATTCTTGTAAAATATATATTGTTTGGGGTGAATGTATTTTTAATTTATGTAAATATATGTCCTTTTTTTTGGGTTAGAGTCATGTTTTTAACATCCATCCAGGCTGCTATGAGTACTGCAGAGTGGGAGTCAATGTACCTTTGCATGGTAGTACCTAAGGGGGACAGTGACAAAGGCATTTGGAGCTGCAGAGTAAGGGGGTGGGGACGGGTGAACAGCATACAAGGTGACCTTCTTGTATCACCATGCAGGGAGGACAATTGGTTTGGTCACATCCTCTACCAACATCTGGGAAACAACCTTTTACCCCAAATGCCCACAGGAGGCAAGAGCACCAGGTAAGCACAGAGAGCGTTTTAAATTTGATGTCAATTGTCCCCTTTTTTGTTGGATCCCAGCTCACAGCCCTTTCTGCTTTACGGACTGTAGGCAACAGTCATGTGATGTGGCTGGTCAGTTGCTATGGGAATGACCCATGTCAACAAGGACAGTGGCAACATAGCCTCTCCCTGGGGTGCCCAATTTCTCACTCTGTTGAACAAAGTGAGAAAACGTTGAGTTCCTGAAATCTGGCATATGTTCTTCAACTCCACGGGGCGGTGATCAATTTTGGCGTTGTGAATACTACAGGCTGCAAGCTCCCTTGACTTGAGATTGTTCTTGGGCTATCAGTTTAGAGATCATTATGGTGAGAGGCACCCAACAACATCAGGGGCTGCCTGGAGTGGGGAAGCAAAACACTGCATTTTGAATAACTTCAAAGTGAGAAGCTGTGTCTCCGTTATTTTAAAGCAAAAACATTTATTCTGATTAGCATCATACGATACATGCTTTTTGTTAAAACAAACAAACTCAAGCCTAGAAAAGCATAAGGAAGAAAAAAAATCACAACAAATCTGACCATTATATTTTAGTAAAAGCTCTTTCATAAATCTTTTTTTACATGTATATTTGTGTCTGTGCATGCCATTAAAAAATACCTATAGTCAATAATATAGCTTGTCACGCAAAAACATAGCTTTTTGTGTAAAAACACCCCACATAGATCCGAGTCATCTTTCCTAATTCTTTCATAATATTCCATTTTGTATTTTACTTAATTTTGGAAAGTTTGTGACCATTACTTCAAATATTTCTTCTTCTCTGTTTTTTCTCCTCCTTCTAGTATTTTGATTGCCCATATATTACACCTCTTAAGATTACAGCTCTTAGAGGCTGTGTTATGTGTTTTTCCTCATGCTTTTTTTTCGTTGCATTTTAGTTTGGGAAGTTTCTACTACCTATCCTCAAGCTCACTGATTCTTTCCTCAGCTGTGTCCAGTCTAATGATGTGTCCGTCAAAGACATTCTTTTTTTAAAAATTAATTTATTGAAGTAACATTGGTTTATGACATTGTGTAAATTTCTGGGGAATGTCATTATATTTTGGCTTCTGTATAGACTACATCGGGTTCACCACTAAGAGTCTAGTTTCCATCCATCACTATACACACGTGCCCCTTTACCCGTTTCAGCCTCCCCCCACCTGCTTCACGTCTGGTAACCACCAATCTGTTCTCCTTATCTATGTGTTTGTTTGTTTATCTTCCACATATAAGTGAAATCATACAGTATTTGTCATTCCATATCTGACTTATTTCACTTTGCATAATACCCTCAAGGTCCATCCATGTTGTCACAAATGACATGATTTTGTCTTTTTTATGGCTGAGTAGTTTTCCACTGTATATACTATATTTATATTATATCATCTTTATGCATTCATCTGTTGATGGGCACTTGGGTTTCTTCAAAATTAAAAATAAAAATATCATATGATCCAGCTATTCTACTTCTGGGTGTTTATCTGCAGAACATGAAAACATTAATTCAAAAAGATATATGTACTCCTACATTCATTGCAGCATTATTCACGATAGCTAAAGACATTCTTCATTTCTATTATAGTGCTTTTGATTTCTAGCATTTCCTTTGGATTCTTTCTTAGAGTTTCCATTTCTCTGCTTACAATACCAGTTTGGTATTTTTCCATTAGAGTCCTTAACATTAATCATAGTTATTTTAAATTGTCTGGTGATTCCAATATCTGAGTTCATGTCTGATGCTGGCTTTGTCTCTTCAGATTGTGTTTTTTTCCTATCATTTTAGCATGCCTTGCAACCTTTTGATGACAACTGCCATGATGCATTGGGTAATAGGATCTGAGGTAGTTAAGCCTTTGGGGTGAGGTTTTATGTTAATCTGGTTAGGAGGTGGGATGTGTTTAATGTTTGCTGTAGGTGTAGGTGCTGGAGGATTCAAATTCAAATTCCTCTAGTGTCCTTGTTTTAGTGTCCCCCATTGTCTTAGGGCTTCCCTAAGAAATTCTCTTTAAATAGAGTCAGGGTCTGGCAGCTCTTTCAGCTGTAATTCTATTTATTTTACTAGAGCTCTAAAATCTTATGATTAGATCTCAGTCTTTTAGTGGGCCTCTGTCTTTGGACTGTCGTCTTCACAAGTGTTTCTCCAGTAGCGTAACTTAAAAAAATTCCCATCCTCTCCTCCCTTCTTTGGCTTCAGTTTTTCCAATCTATTTCCTTGAAGCCCTTCTCCCTATTGACTATGTTCTTTTTTTGTTTCCCCTTAGATGAGACTGGAAGGATAGAGGGGGCTGGGATAGGGGGAACGTCCTTCCCACAGCTGATGTAGGACTCTGGCAAAGTCATCTTCCCTGGAGAATAGATCTTTGTTAAAAGTGAAGGCTCTAAGCGTGTTTCACAATGATTACTTTTCCCCTTTGCCTTCCCCAGCCATAGCAATGAAGGGATCTTCACTTTGAAAACCTGGTGATGTTTGTGTAGGTAGGGCCTCTCAGGGTTTAGGGTCCTCCTAAGACTGTGGCAACCAGGGAGTTTCTCATTCTCACACTAGTCCCCACTCAACCTCCAGCAGTTTGTCAAAATTACGGCTTAAGTGTTCTTACCAGTTACGGCTTCAGTGGCTTCTGGAAGTTAAGCAGGTCTCTGCTGTGACTCTAGGGTTTGTCTATGTTTCTAGATTTTAGAGTAACAATTCACTCTGTGACCTCACTTCTCTGAAGGATTCAAGAAAAATCATTGGTTTTCAGTTTGTCCAGCTTCCTCTTATTGTAAGAATGGGAATGATAACTTCCAAGCTTTTTGCGTGTTGGAGATGAAGCTGGTAGTCTCCATATATTTTATTTACCAAGTCCGTGTTGATGGACAGCTATATTTTCTCCAACATCCTAGGACATAGAAGTTTGTGCACTACATTAATTATGTTTTTCTTTGGATAAACTCTTTGAAGAAAGATTTCTAAGTCAAAATGTATGTATGTTTTAAATGCACTCCTGTAAGATGTTATCGATTTATGAGTCAACTAACATTGCAGAAAATTGTTTTCCAAGATGTTGGGTCTTTTGATCTTTTTGGAATTACCATGATATCCACTCAGTCTGAAAACTGACTGAAGAGGACATTTAGATTCCCTCCAGATCTTCATCCTCAATCTAGGAGTCACTTGAACTATCACTCCAAGATCTTACCCTAGGTTCACAGATATCATCCTTATTAAACAGATTTTATCTCTCAGTCATAAGGGACTTTACGAGACTTCTGCTCTGTGTCTTTTTCTTCTCTCTCCATCAAGCAGGTCAGGTATAATTTTCTCCATTTTACATAAGACCAGAGAAGATGAGGACATACCGCAGATTACAGGACTGGTAAATAAGAGGGTAAGATGTCAGTCTCTTGCTATCTCTATTTCCTAGATAATGAATTACTTTGAAGGTACAGAATGTATTTCATCAGATAGAAAAATATTGGAGTTTCTCCTTGAAAAAGATAACTGGCAAATGAGGAAACCTGGGAAGACTGTTGTCATGTTAATAATTGTAAGGGGAGGGTCTTTTTGTAGACACATTTGTTAATGATTTATCAGTTAAGTCCTGAGTGTAACTGGACTTAGCTCTTTGCCCTTAGTCCTTCTGCCAACGATAGAGCAGAGTCCCATCAGAGTTACTGAGGGAAAATAACAGCTTTTCCAAAGGAATCCTTTTCCTTTCCTAACTCATTGAGAAGTTGTGGAATTGAAGGAAAGGGAAAAAATGTGGAAGGATTTCGGATAAAACCTAATTTACATAAACCTCATATTACAGGTATTCCATTCACAGCGAGTGGACTATGAAGGATGATGTGTGCAGGGTGGTCAGACTGAGATGCAGGGGTGGCAGGAGTGTTAGAAGAGAATAACTGTGTGGAGATGTGGCTCAGATACTAGAACCCTTAGGGTTTCATGCAGTACTGATTTTCTTGAAAAAGGGTGCAAAGTCCTTCCATTTATTTATTAGCACTAACTCTTTTTGAATAAGGCTTATCTGGAATTATTGGACATAATTTTTTTTTCT